ATCTCATCTGACAGTTAAAACTGGTAAATTTTGATCTCATCTGACAGCAGCTAAAACTGGTAAATGTTTATCTCATCTGACAGTTAAAATTGGTAAATTTTGATCTCATCTGACAGTCAAAACTGGTAAATTTTGATTTCATCTGACAGTTAAAACTGGTAAATTTTGATCTCATCTGACAGTTAAAACTGGTAAATTTTGATCTCACCTGCCAGTCAACACTGGTAAATTTTGATCTCATCTGACAGCTAAAACTGGTAAATGTTTATCTCATCAGATAGTTAAAACTGGTAAAGTTTACCTTATACTTCTCTTTTCGCAAGTTTTAAATCAAACCATCACGTATGATAATCAAAGCTGGTAAATTCTACAACACTTCTATCTTCACTAGATTGGGAAGTACCTCAAAAGAGATAGATAATAAATATTGTCCAGAAGGTATAAAGTTGATTTTGCACAGAGCTACCCGAAGAGCTTATAAACGTATAGCCGTCTTTAATTTTGACCTGATTGACAAGAGGGAAGGCAGCCAGTTAACAGCAAATCCGGAAACTCTTTGGTTATTCTAGTCCAATAGCGAGATTTTACCGACATTCTTACAATGCATCCGCAGCCCCAAAAGAGCAAAGCTCGAGTTTGGGAAAGCGGGACACGAACCCTGGACCCCCGGATTCACCTTCCAGCTCGCTACGCACAAAATGGGAATAATAGGGAGTGTTTAAATACACTTGTGCTCGAGATGTTGGAATTATTCAATTATGTTTGATATCTTATTAGGTCTTTTGAAAACTATCAAATTATTTGATGACACCACCTGGTGGGCACATGGGTAATAATATCCGACAATTCATGATAGTAAGGTATATTTATATTTTAAAACCTATTAGTATATTACCTAGCTAGAATAGAACACCGAGAGTAAAACTCCCGCCCACAATGTGTTTCTTTTTTGTACTAATTAATCTAAAATATATATACAAAACATTACTTCACACTCAAAAAATTTTTTATTATAGGTGTCAAGATCCTTTTTTTTTATCCCAGTTTCTTGCTCAGTTTCATAGTTTTGTTTTTTGAAATGTCAAATTAATTTTTTAATTGCTACCTTTAACGAAAGTGGTTGACGTTCTGATAAACCATAGGTTTGTCAGAATAATTCAAAATGTTTTTTTTTAAGTCTGAGGTTTGTCTTCACAGTTTGCCAGAATAATTCAAAACATTTCGTTAAATCTGGGGTTTGTCTCTTCAATTTGCCAGAATAATTCAAAACGATTTTGTTAAGTCTGGGGTTTATCTCCACAATTTGCCAGAATAATTCAAAACATTTTGTTAAGTCTGGGGTGTGTCTCCACAATTTGCCAGAATAATTCAAAACATTTTGTTAAGTCTGGGGTTTATCTCCACAATTTGCCAGAATAATTAAAAACATTTTGTTAAATCTGGGGTTTGTCTCCACAATTTGCCAGAACAATTCAAAACATTTTGTTAAGTCTGGGGTTTATCTCCACAATTTGCCAGAATAATTCAAAACATTTTGTTAAGTCTGGGGTTTGTCTCCACAATTTGCCAGAATAATTCTAAACATTTTATTAAGTTTGGGGTTTATCTCCACAATTTGCCAGAGTAATTCTAAACATTTTATTAAGTCTGGGGTGTGTCTCCACAATTTGCCAGAATAATTCAAAACATTTTATATAACTTATTGTCCCCCATTGGCTCAGCGGTAAGTCTAAAGTTTTATAACACTAAACATTGAACCTAATCTAAAGGCTTCAGTTAAGTTTCAAGATTAGGAAAGACGACACCTGGCTCAGAAGAAAGATTATATTTTAATAAACGAGTAATTTAGGTGGTAAAAGAAGAAATGGGGACCTGTTTACAAGTCCGTGGAGTAGTATGTATGTGTGTGTATGAAGTGATCAACTTCGATTGAGGTAAACAAACCAAAGGAAAAAAGTTGAAATATTCTGTTCTCAAACGTTAGATGAGCTGCCGACAAATGACATGCTATTAGCCTGAGCCCAGAGGGCAGTTGTCCAGATCTCTTGAAATACTACTGCCTTCCACCTGTGCATGACCAAACATTGTCTATCCAGTTTAAAAGTATTCATCTACCTATATATATATCTATCTCGCGAGGTGAATGTAAAATTATTAATTTCCGAACACCTAGGGTATTAAACTCGGAATTCCTAACAAAGAACTTTGACTGGGGTTGCTGGTATGCTTAGATCTAAATCTTAGCAAGAGTTAGAGCGTGAAAACTATTATAACAGTAATGTGTGCGTAATTTCCTGTATATTAGCTTAAGAAAACAAAATTAAATTTTTTTCTAAACATTGTTTTTCATCACTAGAGGGCGGCAAAGAACACGATATATATGTGTTTAAAATCATAAATAATATTCGACGTTAAACTGGTACACAATTAAAAACATTTTATTTAGGCCTAAGGATGACGTTGTAACTTCGAAACATGTA